ACGTACTAAATATGTGAGGTCATATCTACATGGGTTTGATTACAGAAACTAAGAAAGTATTCTCTAAATAATGAAAAAAATAATAAGACTATAAGAGCGAGAAGCAATTTAAATATGTTCAGGGACCATTTTCATCTCCACAATTAAGGATTATTTTGATGTTACATCATTGCTTTTTCTCTTGTATTTTCCTTTTTATTTTTATTTTAGGATTCCCTATTTTTAATGTTCATACAGAGATTTCTTTAACTGAAATACTGAATAGTTTCTTTGGTGTGAAAAACTATAATAGTACACAGGATCCTAATGAGATAATTAATAATGTGAAATAGGAAGTAAAGGGTTAAAGGTGTAAGGAAAGTAGGAAGGGTGGGGGAGAGGTAATAAGGGAGAGGAAAAAAATATCAGAAACTGAAAAAATGGAAATAAAGTGTTTGTAAATGGAGAGGGGAGGAGCGGGTGAAGGGAGGGCAAGGACAAGGGGAAAAATGAGAATCAAGACCTATTATGTAAAGGTACAGAATCCCAATGATGAATGTAATTGTATTGTATACCTAGATTGTACCAATAACCTCAATAAAAAGAAAAAAAAAACAAAAAAAACTGATGATTAGAAAAGTCACAATCATATTTGGAGATTTCAATATCCCCTTTCTTAATAATTAGTAGAACATGCGAGGAGTAAAATCAGCAAGAATAGTCTTGGGCAACACTAACAACTAACTTGAACTATTTGCAATTTATAGAACATTCCACACAACAGTGTAGTACATATTTTACTCAAGTACCTAGAGAATATTCTAAGGTAGGCTATGTTCTGAGCCATAAAATACATCTCGATACATTTAAAAGGATTCATATCATATGAAATATAGTCTATGAGAAAAATGAAATGAAATTAGAAACAAATTGTATAAATATATCTGGGAAATCTCCAAGTATTTGGAATTTAAATGCTGTGCTTGCCCAGTGAAGAGTAGTCCCTGTCTGGAAATGTGAACAGTACCAGCTCACAGATTTATCAATGAGACTCGCTACACTTCTTTGGCTACCGTCCTGACACCATCAACCTTTTTGTAACTTGGCACATTTTGATGTTTGAGAATATGACCTACAGAATGGTGAAGTAAAACTGGGATATGCTCTGAATCCTTCCTCCTTTCTCTCTTTTCTCCCCTTGCTCTGTGTAAAACAGCCCAGATCCTAACTTATCCTACCTGCATGGGCCACATCTAAGTGTGGTTCATGGACAGATTTTTGGACTCTACTCAGAGGCTTTAGGACCAGGGAAGGGAAAATTATTCCCTCAAAGTGCTAAAGATGAAGAGTCCAGATAGGGCACATGAGGTGGCAGCACCCTGTCTGAGGGTCTGAGGGCTGATCTTCAAGTTTTCCTTTTACTTTTTTTTTTTTTGTACCAGGGATCAAATTCTGGTCCTTGCACTTCTGAGGCAGGCAGCAGAACCACTGAGCTAAATCCCCGGTCTCTTGAAATTAACCTATTCCTCCCTTGCTCACTTCCCTGGGGCACTACCTCTACTGCTTAAGTGCCCTGGTCTGGAAGTGTACAATCTCAGTTTGGGTGGTCTTGTCAAGGGATGGGAAGTTAGAAGGCCTTGTGGTCTTCATTAGCTGTGAAGCCCCAGCTAAATTTTCAGTTTCTCCTTCTGAAAGATGACATCGATCCTAACCCAGTAATTAGGTTTTTTAAAGCATCTGCCAGGGACCTCTAGATACCAAGGATAAAATAGAAAGACTGTCCTAATAGGCAATTTAACGTGATTTATGAAATAATTTTTGGAGCAGCATATGGGAAAACAGATTGTATTACTATGTCTTTGTAAGAGGACTACAGAGTTGGAAATACCCAAAAGTGCTCACAAACTTGCCAAAGTGTGACCTATCAGTCAGCTGAGCCCCGCACCAGCACCTATTAGAGTTGGGACAATTTAGTATGGATCTGAGCCACTGTCTTCCAGCAGTTTATTGAAGCTGCTGGGGAGATAATCCAGGAGAAAGATTCAGAGAGACCAGACATACGTGGAAAGGTGGGGGAAATAAAAGAAAATTAAATACACAGATATATACATACATATCATGCTTCTAGGTAACCCATGGGTCAAAGAAGAAATCAAAAGGCAAATCAGACATTAGTTTGAACTGAAAATGGAAGGACAATGTATCAGAATTTTTGGATTGTTGCTAATGTAGTAAATAGAGGGAAATTACGGCCAAAAAGTAGAACAGGGACTATTATTAGTCCAAGTGAATAAAGATGAGAGCAGGGGGTAATAGTGAAGATGGATATAATAAAAATGTTTTACATATATATATATAAAAATTCAATATTTTGTAAAATTAAAAATATTAAAATTAATATTTTCTAAATAACACATTATGAACAACCTTATGCCTATGAATTTAACATCTTAAGTGAAATGAACAAATTCTTCAAAATACATATTGCCAAAGCTCACGCAAGAAAGATATGTAACACAAATAGCCCCATATCCTTTCTTTCTTTCCTGGTGCTAGAGATTAAATCCAGGGCCTCACAGATTCTCAGCAAGTGCTCTACCACTAAGTCATATCCCCAGCCCCCATGTCCATTGACTGATTGATTGATTTCTAGCTTTACTGACGATTTGGGCATGCATGTGCCCATGATGCAAACCACAATTAACATTCATTTGGCACATAAATATATTCCATTTTAGCAGATTAGAAAAAAGTTAAACCAGAGCCTTATTGCTTCTCAGTACTATCCCTGCACCCCATGTCCATTTTTTAAAATAAAATTTATAATTAAAAACCTTATCATAAAGAAAACTCTAGGCCTAGATGGCTTCATTGGTGAATTGTACTAAACTTTTAAGAGAGAATTAAATATCAATTCTTTTAGAAATAACAACCAATCTATGCAAACTTCCAATATGTTATTTGAGGGCAGCATAAGCCTGATTCTAAAATCAGTCAAAGACATTACAAGAAAACCACACTATTCCTCATGGACATAGTTGGAAAAATTAAAAACCAAAATTTTAGTTAATTGAATTTTAGAAAAAAAAAAAAAAAGCAAAACACAGCATGTTTTATTGAGGTTTATCCCAAGACTGCAGGGTTGGCCTAACAGTCAAAGATCAGTTAACAAAATGAACAAAAAAACCCTATATGGTCATCTCAAGAGCTATAAAAAAAGAAAAGGATTAGACAGCATCTATTCTTGATTTAAAAATCTCAGCAAGATAGGGAAAGAAAGGAACTTCCTGACACTTGTAAAGGGTCTCTACTGTAAATTCACTTTTAAAGTTTGAATGTCTTTGAGAAATCTACAACTTATTAGTGAAAAATGTTTTCCACATAACATCATGGTGCCGTGAAACTGGGCATAAAAAACTAGGAGAGAAGTTTTGTTAGGATTTGCTGAGTTTTGGGCCCAACATTATTATACTGCCCTAAGCTTACAAAACTTGACCTTGCAGAATTTCTACTCCACCCTGATCTTGTTTACTTTGAGGACAGGAAGCCTGAAGATCATAGCTTCCTTTTGGGTGGGCTGGCTAAAACTGGATGGACCTAAGATGGCTGGCAGAATGACTGCCAGACAATCTATGATGTCATTATAATCCATCTGCAAGCTAAATGCCACACCAGTGTTAAAACAGTTGAGAAAGTGCCAGGCAATGACTTGAAGGAACCACAGAACAGAGAAAGGTAGAACCAGATTTCCCACAAAATATACTCATTCCCAGAAAACGCACGAACATTTCTCTATGACCTATCCTCCTACCCCCCATTTCCGTTAAACTGTATTTATAACCCCCACACCCTAATGTGCTGAGAAGTTCACTTGCGTGTTCCTCTCCCATTTTCCTACTGTTGGCCAAGAATAAAAATCTCCTCTACTGCTCAGTTGGTGTTGGGTCTTTCTGGTTTCACAATTCTGAGTGGAAAAAGGACTCAGTTCGGGTAACAATATGGCATTGGAGATCTTCCTGGGGATATACAGTTACATGGATCTGGAGCTCAGAAAAGAGATGTCAGGATATAGAGACTCTTAGGAGTATTTTTTTGTTGTTGTTTTTTTGAAACAAGGTCTCTACATGTGTAGCTCAGAATGGCCTTGAACTCAAGGTAATCCTTCTGCTTCAGCCTCTGGAGTGCTGGCATTATAGGTGTGCAGCACCACACCTGGCTAGAGTATTTTAAAAAGCGCGTGTGTGCGTGCGTGCGTGTGTGTGTATGCGTGTTTTGTTTTGTTTTGTTTTTTGAGACAGGGTCTTACTACACAGTTCAGGCTGGAGGACTTGAACTCACTATGTAGCCCAAGCCGGCGTTGAACATGCACCAATTCTCCTGCCTCAGCCTCCTGAGTGCTGGGATTACAGGCATGTGCTACCATGTCTGGTTTTAAGTATATATTTTTAAACAGCACATAAGGGAAACATAAGCGAAAAGTAAAAATGAGAAAAGGGTTAGGAATACAAACACCGAAGAAACCTAACATTGAAAACTAGGAACAACAGATATGTAAAGAACAAGAAAAGGCAATCAAAAGCTTAGAGATGAAAAGATGCCACTATGCAGCAGAGATGTAGGAGAATACAGTTTCAAGAAAGGGAGGAGTCTATCGACTCAGAAGTTGAAGACTTCAATATAAGGCTCTTACACTACATTTTTCAGTACTGCTGATTGAACCCAGGGCCTTGCACGTGCCAGGCAAAAGCTCTAATGCTGAGCTATACAATTCCCCAACCTATAAGGATCCAAGTACATACTAAAGTTCTTAGCCATAAACACAAGTGACCACTGGAACATATTTCAGATAGCTATTATGTAATATAGCCGAGATTTAGCCAATCCTTGATGCTGACACATCACATCACATTCTATCTCATTAGGAATGGATGTGTATGCAAGTTCAGGCTTTCCAATTGGTTACTTTACTCTTCTCTGGATTGTTCAGACAGCCCTGCCAAGATGAGACAGTATCCATGGCTTTAAAAAGTTCAAACATGCGTTTAGTTCAAAGAAAGGTAAGGAAAATATTTTGAGTCCAAAGCCCTCTAGAGCTTTGAGCTTTTTGTTCCTGTAAATGTTTTACTAACAATTGCTTAACCTTTCCCAGATTGGGAAGGTTTTAAATTATATAGTGAAACCAGGCACTCTGACTCTTGTCTATAACCCTAGCATTCTAAGAGGCTGAGGCAGGAGAATTGCAAGTTCCAGCTCAGTCTGGACAATTTACATCAAGGCCCTATCTCAAAATGAAAACATAAAAACAGGTCTCGCCGAGGTAGCTCAGTGCTAACTAGGTTCAAACCTCGACACTGCCAAAAAACCACAACTGTATTGTAGGACATTAATTCACTGACCCTAAATTTTCTCATTTGTAAAAGGTGGATTAAAAACATCAATCCTCAATGTTTTGGAAGTCAGGACTGGCTCATTCTGGATCCTTGGTATCTGAACTAGAGCCTGACACAGCAAGTGTGGTCTGCATTAGACTAGCTAAGTATTTGTTAAAAGGGGGATGTGTTCCACCCTAAGCGTCATTATTATTCCCCAACTCTGATTTAGGTCCCTAAGTCGTGTTTTGCTCTTAGCTACATCTCCAGCTGTCCTACAATTCTTGATTTAGGGACCTTGTCTAGCTAAGTCACTAAACTGCCCAAGCTGGGCTCGAATTTGCAATCTTTCTGCCTCAGTGTCCCAGGCTGCTAGCTAGGATTTTAGGTGTTTGTCACTACACCTGGCTGTACACTTGTCTTGACAGGAGCCAAGGGGTACTGGGGGGACTGCAGTTCCTTCCTCCAAGCGGTTCTACGGAGGAAGCAGTTTGCTATTCAGATAAAGTCGCCTGGCCCTGCTGCCTCTCATACTGTTGTTCCCATCCTCTCTTCTCTTTGGAAGTACTGCACACGCTGCAAAACTTTCGCGGCACCTCAAAGATCAAATCCAGCACGGAGGCCACGAAACTTTTTCAAAGCAGAAAGCAGCCCTGCCCTCTCCATGTCAGGAAACTGGAGATGAGGCCGCGCCACCGGTAAGAGTTACCTACAGGCCCAGAGCGCCGGCAGCCCTTCGCAACAGCCAAGGACCACAGACCACTGGGCTGGGGCAGCAGGCTAGACAGACCTCTGCTTGGTCTCCGCGCGTTCTCGGCAGCTGGGCGGCCGGGTTTGGTCTCGGGGCGGGGCCGATGCAGCCCCTCCTTCCGGAGCCGGAGATGAGGCCGCGCCACCGGTAAGAGTTACCTACAGGCCCAGAGCGCCGGCAGCCCTTCGCAACAGCCAAGGACCACAGACCACTGGGCTGGGGCAGCAGGCTAGACAGACCTCTGCTTGGTCTCCGCGCGTTCTCGGCAGCTGGGCGGCCGGGTTTGGTCTCGGGGCGGGGCCGATGCAGCCCCTCCTTCCGGAGCCGCG